GGAGACTTTCCAGTGTAACCTCTGTATGTCTCCTTGTACTTCATGAAGTCAGAAAAGTGGGATATAAATATAACAACCACCAATGTCTCCACACTACAGGTCTTTTCTGTTCTCAACATTTATCCATGTTTTCTCTCTTCACTATGACTATGAAGCGAAAAACAATCACAGCTTACATTTTTATTTCAAGGTCACCTAGCTTACAATTTAGAGCCTTCCTTCATGCTAAGTGCCTAATTCCCCAAGCCAGATGTTCCTGCCTCCTTTAAGAACAGAATTTCATAGATAATTTCCTTGGTCTCCAGAATTTCCTAGTTCTTCAGACAAAGGGAGAAAAAGACTAAATCAGACCAGAATTGCTGTCCTAAGCAGAGTTATACCCTTCTAAGCCCATTTACTTCAATAAATGGTGTAACTCTACTTATGATGGTACTGTTAGTGAACTGACTATAATTACATATCAAAAAAGAACAAAATTATTGATGCCAAGATTGAGAGGGAAATATATGCCAAGATTGAGAGGGAAATTACTCCTTTTATAAAGGATAATATTGTTCTTTACATAATCCAAGCAGATAGCAAATAAACTGTTCTTTACCTTTTCAGATGATTTACTGTCTGTTCCTGCTGCAGCTGGAGTTGTGGCTGCCAATTTATTTTCTTTACTCTGAGAATAAAAAGTGTTCGAAAGAGTTGGTATAAAGATCTTGTGCTCACTTGTGCACCTGGGTAGTGTCAAACATTAAACCCACCTCTGCAGAAGTCAAGCCAGCAGCAGCAACAGCTGCTCCAGCTGTGGTAGCAGCTGCACCAGCTGCCTTAGTGGACAATGATTTGTCATCAGATTTAGCCTGAGATGGGAAAAACACAGAAAGGAGTACACATGAAATTTAGTATTTAATATTTAAGGCAAACAAAGCTAAAACCAGAAAATGCTTACTTATAAATAGTATATCTACTTCCAAACATGAAGTCAATTACACTCAAAAAGCTGCAGCATGAACAAAATCTTAATCTCTCCTATATTATAAAAGGAATTTGGAGTGGCAAGATTCCATTTACTCCCTCAGCCATTGGCCCATCAGCCGCCATTCAAGACTACTCGCATGCCATTGGCCGGGTGCTGGGTCTGCTGCTCTTCCCCACCCACTTCCCCTTCAGCCACTCTGCCCTGTCAGAATTCCTGGCAAATGGCTTTGTCTCTTTGATGAAGACGCTTCTCCTGCTTGCCTCCTGTGTGGGACTTAACTTTTCCCTCACTGGCTGTTGGTAGGTATAACAAAATGGCAGTTACCTGTGTTTGTAAGATGGCTGCTGGGCTGCTATCTGTGGTTGTTTGTTTAAAATGTTCCACCATAAGGTTTAATTGAGCTGTAGTTCCAGAGAGGTATCACTCACTGGGTTGAATGGGGCTTCCTCATCTGCTGGACTACAGTTCCCAGCTGCCCCAAGGCAGAAAGCGGCAGGAAAACAGGGACTGTCCCAATGCACGGGGCAGCATCAATATAGACTGCAGCCCATCCAGGGAGGAGGCTGTCTTCATCCTACAGGAGGTTAGGAAAGGCTCCTGCTGCCTGTGCTGACCAGGCTGTCCAGGCCACAAGCCAGAGGAGTGGGGGAACCCTGCTCTCTTGGGCCAGAGAGAGAGAGGCTAGAGCAGAGAGCCAGAGGCCGGTGTGTAAGGAAAGAGGATGGTGTTTAACCCCTGTGGATTTATGCTGTGTTGCTTCATAGTGCGTGCTTACTCTTACAGTGTGTGTGCACCCCATAACGGTGTAAATAATTTGATAAATTCTTTTATTTCGGCTAATAATCTGTGTTGTGCTCTGACCACGTAGTCTCCCCCGCTCTGCACAATAACAAAGGGAGGCAAGAAAAGGCCAGACCCTTGGCTTGCCAACTTTCCAGGGATCCCCCAAAGATTGGGGATTCTATCTCCAAATATGGAGATTCAATTTGGCCAGAGGTGTTTCACCGTCCCTCTAAAAAGGCAGTGACAATTCAGTGAGTCACGTCAGCAAATGTAAGAAGTGAGATACACGCATGGGATGAGGATGGGAGACAAACAGCTGAGTGGTAAACTGGAGCCTGTTTCACCACGGTAGGCAACCAAGCTTGGTTCAGACATAGGAAGGAAACACTTTGCAGGCCTTTGTGAGGAATTAATTGGGGCCAGTACTGAGTCTAGGGTTGCCAGCTCCAGGTAGGAAGATTCCTGGAGATTTTCTGGAAGAGTCTATGGAAGCCAGGGTTTGAGGAGGGGAGAGGCCTCAGCTGAACAGAATGCCATACAGCCCACCTTCTAAAGCAGTTATTTTCTCCGGGGGAGGGGGGAGATCTGTTGTCTGGAGTTCAGTTGTGATACCTGGTGAACTTCAGGCTGCACCTGGAGGTTGGCTGCCCTAGGCGTAGCGGTCAGTGCTTCAAAGCAGGTTCTGCTAGATCTAGGTTCTTGCTGTATAAGCTGAGTGGGTGATTTTGGACTGGTCACAGATTTTCAGCCTAACCTACCTCACAGGGTTGTTGTGCAAGTCAAAAGTTGGAGAGGAGAATGATGTAAGCTGCTTTGGTTCCCATTGCAGAGAAAGACTACTTTTCTTCCAGGGAAATTATTGTTGCCAATCTCCAGGTGAGGGCTGGAGATCACTTAGAATTACAACTGCTCTCCAGATGGCAGAGATCAGTTCCCCTAGAGAAAATGGTGGACTCTGTGGCAGTCAGGGCTTCAGAGCATGGAAAATGGTGGACTCTGGCAGTCAGGGCTTCAGAGCATGGGAGAGGCTGCAGGTGTATGTGTGGGGGGAAATGGGAAGCTGAAGAGAGAGGGGAAAATAAAGGTAGGTTGATAATTGGCTGGGAAGGAGATAGGGTTGCCAACTCCAGGTGGGAAATTCCTGGAGATTTGAGGGATGGCACCTAGAGAGAGTGAGGTTTGAGGAGGGGTGGGACCTCAGAAAGGTACAATGCCATAGACTCCACCCTCCCAACCAGCCATTCCCTTCTGGCGAACCACTGTTCCCAATCTCAGGAGAGGGGTGGAAATCACTCAGAATTACAACTGATTTCCAGGAGGGAGGGGGGAAGGGATGCAAAGCTGAAATCAGAGGGGCAGATAATGGCAGGTTGATGCTTGGCTAGGAAGGAGATAGGGTTGCCAACTCCAGGTTGGGAAATTCATGGAGATTTGGGGGGTGGAGCCTGGAGAGGGTGAGGTTTGAGGAGGGGTGGGACCTCAGACAGGTACAATGCCATAGACTGCACCCTCCAAACCAGCCATTTCCTCCTGAGCAACAATTGTTGCCAATCTCCAGGTGAGGCCTGGAGAGCACTGAAAATTACAACTGCTCTTCAAGTAGCAGAGATCAGTTCCTCTAGAGAAAATGATGGACTCTGTGTCATTATACTCTGCTGAGGTCGCCACAGCACATTGACGCTGAGTGCCTAAGGCCTTGGCACTCTCCCAGAGCCTCTTTCTAGAGCTCGTTGTATTTATTTCCACAACGGGACTTATTCCTAATATAACATATTTAAGACTATAAGAATAGTGTAGACTGTTGTATTTCCATCTCTGGATATGTATTATTTTTGAAGTTCAGGGATACGAGACAACTGCATACAGGTATAAAGGCTTCTCCTTGCTGTCATAAAGAACTTAAATCTATATCGCATTCTTATGATACATATCTTCAGCATCACTCTGTTAAAGAAACTAGCTTGGCCAAGGAGATTCAACAGGTTCACAGATGAGGTAAGATTTAAATTCAAATCCATGCTCTACATACTAGCCACTAAGTCACAAATGTCAATTCACACCTCTGATGATCCAAAAGTAATTCAGTAAAACCATACTCCCATCCTCTTGTGCAGATTTTGCTCAGAATAATAAACTCAAGCCAGTTGGTCTGGGAACACAGCAGAACTAAAGTTATTGGCCAGGGCCTTGGAATACGCAGCCACTGACACTGATTGATTATTCCCTCAAGTTTATAACAGCACCTCAATTTATGCCTATGGGTAAAATGGATGAGCAACCTACCCAACTGGCATCTAAACCATAGGAATAGATCAGCCAATCCCATAACACTTCAAGATCTGAAATGTTTATGAAGAGCTCAAGACTATCTTTTGCCTTGGCTCTTCCTCATTCTTCCATCTGTTCTCATCTACAGGGTGACTCAAGTTCAGTCATGAACTGTATTGCTGAATGTAAGGAAGAGGACCTCAGGGTGACAGAGTCACTGGTGTCAGCAGGTACTTAGTAAATGGACGGAAGTACAAGCTAAACATGTATAATTTTTTCTTTTGAGCTGTCCATGGTAGAATGTGCATAATTATCTGGACAATTACCCAATCTTCCTCTCAGTTTTCAAGACCAGCTTCCCATAAGAAACGTAAGCAGGGGCACTGAGTGTGAGCTTTTGAGAGACTGGCCACTCTTGATTTACCTTTGGCTCTTCTTTTGATGGTTCCTTTGGTGACTTGTCAATCTGACTGGCACCTGCTTTTCCGGTACTTGGTTGTTTAGGTTCTGATACAACAGAAGGTTTGCTTGGACTTTGTGCCTGCACAAACAGGAAAAAATATTACAAATGCCTTTGCACATATTTCTGTTGGAAAGAACAGCAACACCACAATGTATAAATAAATTACCCCTCCAGGGTCTTTCTGCTTCTCTTCTGATGGATGTTTTGTCTGAGAATCTGGTGGCTGCATGTAACAACACAGATTGTAAAATAAAATTGACAGTAATATAAAGTAGCTGTCATTAATTACTGTTACTTGTTTTTAAATCTAGAACAAACTGTACATCAGTAGAGCAATATCAACATTAATGTAACTATCATTGAACCATAAAGCATTTAGAATCATAGGACCATAGAATCAAAGAGTTGGAAGGGCCTTACGGGCCATCTAGTCCAATCCCCTGCTCAATGCAGGATCAGCCTAGAGCATCCCTGACAACTGTTTGTCCAGGCCCTGCTTAAGGTGGCTTCTACTGCAGCCGCTGCACCACCTCCCTTGGCAGCTGATTCTACTTGTTGCACAACTCTTACTGTAAAAAATGTTTTTCCTAAAATCCAGCCAGTACCTTCCTGCCCTTAATTTAAACCCATGATTGTGAGTCCTATCCACTGCTGCCAACAAGAACGGCTCTCTGTCCTCCTCTAAGTGACAGCCCTTCAAATACTTAAAGAGAGCATTCATGTTCCCCCTCAACCTCTTCTTCTCCAGACTAAGCTTTATAGCACTTTCAGTATTCCAAGAGCTTAAACATTATCTTGAAATCTTTGTAACAGCATTGAATGTTCAGCATTATCACCTCCATACTGCAGATGGCAGAAATGTGGCCAAGAGGGAATGGCTTATCTAATACAGAGTTAGTTGCAGAGCCAATACATCTCTAAGTTACTACTCAGCACTAGGGGTGAGCAAATTTTTTTTAATTAGTATTTTCCAGTTTGGGTCTACTGGACCCCCCAAAAATTGGTATTTTCAAAAAATCCTGGATTCCAATACTACTATGGTATCTGAATCCAGGATTTTTCAGAAATTCCATTTTTTTTCCACGTCCAATAGACCCAAGAAGAAAAATACCAGTTAAAAAAAAAGCCAGCCTGGTCCTGGGGCTGGCTTGGCTTCTCCTGCAGTGCGGTTTAAACTGTGCTGCAGGAGAAGTTGGCCCCAGGATCTGCCATGCCGCGGGTAGCAGATTGCCAGCCCCAAGCCGAGCTGGCGGGAACAGTCTGCTCCCCCGGCACAGCTGATCCTCCGGCAGTCTTCTACAGTCCGTTTAAATTTTAATGGGACTGCAGTAGAAGCCCAAGATACAGCTGAGAGGCAGGAGCAATCTATTCCGGCTCCTTCACTATTTTCAGATCCGCCAGTAGTTCCTGAATATATCTGGGATTTTCTCAGGATTTTTTTCTGAACTGAAATATACCTGAAAAATACCAATAAGTTATATTTTCGGCTTGGGTACATTTGAATGTACACCCCTACTCAGTACCAGCACAAAGCAGGCTATGCTAATAGCTTTCAGCCACCACAACTGCTTAAAGGATCATTTATTTCTACAGAAACATGCAACCATACATGTATTCACTGTGTTAACGCAAATCCATTTATTTAAATAGTTTCACAGCAACGTTTGCTCATATTACAGCATTATAGAAATTACTTATTCCTCTAGATTTATATCCTGCCCTTTCTTAAGCACTCACCTGCTTTATATATTGCACTCAGATCCTGCTTTGAAGCAAGTATGTATTAAATGTAGCTTTCTAAAGAAAAGGTTTCCCTTAAAATTATTGGAAGTGATAAAAGCATTAAAAATTATCTGAAGGACTAAAAAATTGAAAAATATAGAAAACTCAACTTGTGATTAGAAAAATACCGCCTCAACTAAGTAAACAGGAATACTCAGAGTTAAAATATAAAATCTGCAATTTTTGCAGCATGCATACACTTCACTCAGTTTTGAATAAAAATTGTAGAACCTGCAGAAGATTACTACCACAGTTTACTAGGTCCTATATAAAATAATGGGATTTACTATAACACATGAAGCTGCCTTATACTGAATCACACCATTGGCCCATCAAGGTCAGTATTGTCTACTCAGACTAGCAGCTGTTGTCCAGGTCTCAGGAATGGGTCTTCCACATCACATACTCTTTCAATTGGAGAGGTCAGGTATTGAAGCTGGGACTTTCTACATACCAAGCAGATGTTCTACCACTGGGCCATAATCAATACTTCTTAGTAAAGATGCTTAGAATCATGCTGTTAAGCTGCAGTCCTGTGCACATTTACCTGGAAGTGTTCCAATAGCCACTGTATTACTTATTTTGCTGAAAGCTGGACTGTCAATCAGTTTCTACTGATGCCAATTAAATCAGTTATTTGGACACACTATTACAAACAGTGGTATAAGTAATCTTACCTTGCTTAACTGTGCTGCCTTTTCAGGTTCTGTTTTCGCTTTTGACTGCAATTTAAAACAAATGTTAAATTACAAATGCTGGAGTGAGGAATTCAGCCTGCCTAGACATCACTCTTATGTACAAGTGTTATCTCCTCGAATGGGATGCATCTCTTTGTCTTAACCTGGGAGCTGCCCTCTGACCCATCTTCTCTTTGTCCTCTCACTCGCTGCACATGGCCTTCCATGGAGACACATGTCTCTTTAGGTCTTACAATGCCCTCATACAAGCTGGCCATTTGTGATAACAAAAGCAGTCTTTAGATTAGGCTCATTTCTCTTCCTTTGACTACAACCTGAATAGGAACTGGATCTACTTGAATAAATGTAAGTTTACCTTTTTTGCAACATATTTCTTGGGAGATTTATTTACTGCACTCAGTATCACGCTTCTATGACTGGGCAAACTCTGCTATAATAACCAAATATCCTAACAATAAAGCTGTCTAGATTGCTTTTAGAAGAATTTATGTACTGCGAACTCTAGTACTGGGCACCACACCTCTTCTTGGGATCCTTTCACCAACTTCTCTTCCAATGAAAACTGGAACAGAATAGCCAAATTTTCACTGGCTGCAGCAATATGAGCTCCTATGAGTAGCTGTGGATAGGGATTGTAGTCTTTTGAAATTCTACTAGGACAAGCAGGGTAACTGCAAGGACTTGTGGTGTGCAACTCATTCCCCCTCCCCCCATTATTTCCCTTTTCAGAAAGCCTGCACAGTGCCTCTCCCTTTCCTGCTTCCTTCTTTCCTTCCCATCCATTAAACAACCAACCTTTATCTGCCTCCCTGTCTTCAGCTTTCCCTCCTTCCCTCCCTCTGGAAGCCTCTCCCCAGGAAAACTCTGGCCAAGTTACACTGATCACTGTAGTTGTAATTTCAGGTGATCTCCAGGCCCCACCTGGAGGCTGGCAAACCTATCACACTGGCTATCATGAGGCAGCTGCTGCTAGCCAGCAGCCAGGTCTTGGTGAGTTATGCAAGTCTCATGGTAGCAATGAGTCCAGTGGCTGCTGCTGGACCTGCCCCAAACAAATCTTCCCTCAAAGGCCAAAACAACCTGGGAAAGGACCCCTCACCAACCCCCTGCCTTTTCCTGACAGAAACCAAGGCTTGAATATTGCTGTGGTTTCCTAGCAACAGACACTGAGTGCCTCTGTTTCTTAAAGCTGGGAGGTTAACCCTGCCATTTATTTTAAGATTTCAGATTTTTCTTCAAAACTGGGGGTTTTAGATACACTAAATGCAGCAAAGGAGATCAAACAATACAATTCACATGGCTTGCTGCAAACTTCCTTTTAATTGTGTCATGACCTCTTAATTCTATCAAGGCACATTTTAAAAATCAGATGAAGAAGAAATAAAAGGAAGCAAAGAACATAAAATGGGCCAACAACCATCAGAAGAGGAAAGATCAAATAAGCACAAGACAGACAGAACTTAAATAGTTGGTTAGAATGAAAATCAAGAAGAGGATATCCCTTGGCAATTTATGGGATTGTTTAACAGGTTTTGTGATAGGAGAATGCAGACCTTAGCTTTTTTGCCTGCTAATTTGTTCAGTAATCATATTTTACATATGCTACGACAGTTGAGCCAAGCATTTCTTGGATGCACTAACAATGTGTTCACACACAGATGGAAGGAGACAGAAATTCACAAACTTTCATCATACAATAAAAAGCAGGAAATTCTAGCTTTCTTTGACAAACTTTTAGCCTAGAGGGAAGACTATAGAACTTTTAATCATAGACCTATTATTATATAATATACATATGATACTTCAGCGATTGTGTTCTACTACTAAGTAGCTTTTTGTATGATAACTTTGGAATGGTAAGAAAGACCTCAGTTGCAAGACTAAAAGTCAGACCAGATTTTGATGGTTGAAATCCGTGACATGCAATGTGTCTTGGTTAAAAGATGGATGTGTGATTACATGTAACATAAAACAGACATGTACTATGATTTATTAGTTCAGGATCAATGGACAAAAACGTGCTGCTGATGTGACAGCTGTTATTTTCAAACACACACACAAAACCAATTTCCTGTATCACCTGCTTCTTGTTTCTTTTCCTTTTGTGGGATTCCAATCCACTGGTCTGTTGATGGCTTGAAGAAGCCTAGCAGTGGGAGTACAAACTCAGAATGTTTACAGAAATTGCTTAAGGAATTTTTGTTTTAAGAGCATGTGAGTGTGTGCAGAGACAATTTAACATTTTGCTTTTAATGAGATGTTTTATTTTATTTATTTATTTATTTATTGGACTTTTACCCCACCCACCCCGCCAGGGCAGGCTTAGGGCGGCTTACAAGAGAACCATAGATAAAACAACAATATAAATTAGTATAAATATTAATATAAAATACACAGTAAGTTATTAAAACCACTAATATAGCGATGGTGACGTGACTATAATAAGATAAGCGGTAGCTCCACTATCGGCGGGCTCAGGCTGGGAATAAGATTGGGACAGGACATAGATGGTAAGACGTGGCTCCTTACCCATATGCCTGACAGAAGAGCTCAGTTTTTGTGGCCCTGCGGAACTGTGAAAGGTCCCGCAGGGCCCTGATCTCATCCGGAAGCTCATTCCAGTAAGTAGGAGCAGCCACAGAAAAAGCCCTAGTCCTAGTCAATACCAGCCTGGCGTCCTTTCGACCGGGGGCAGGGGGGGGGAAACGATTTTGGGATCCAGGTCTTAGTGCTCTCTAGGGAACGTGTGGGGAAAGGCGGTCCCCTCAGGTAGGTAGGTAGGTCCCTGACCATAAAGGGCTTTAAAGGTCAAGACCAGCACCTTGAAGCGAATCCGGTATGCTATTGGCAGCCAGTGCAGAGCCTTCAGCGCAGGCTGGATGTGCTCTCGTATAGCACTAAAAGCTGAAATTTAAAATAACTCCATTACAGTTACATCTGAAACAACTCATTCTGCCTTATTTTCCTCATAAGGCCCTTTAAGAGCTGTTTCACTTCTTCCAGGAATTAGTCGGCACATATCAACATGCATCTACTGTATACTTCATAAGGATGAGAACTTTTCTCATTTTTTTAAACAAAGGGTGTTATAATGTGTGTATTAATCCAAACTATATTTTCTGAGATAATTCCCACTTCCTGCTGCAGACCCCCTGATTTGCTTCTCGTGCTGTTCCTGAGGGGCCCCTGTCCACCAGGAGTAGCAGTCTGGGGAGCTGAATGTTCTCTTCCACTGACAAAGTGCCTTGATGAGTAGAAAATTTAGTCTGGACCCACCTGTGTGGGATTAGGTGCCTTTGCTCATTTTCCCCAAACTTATCCTCTTTTCTGACTTCTGGATACTCCCTACAGGGATCACCATACAAGAAAGCTACTATTGCCAATAGTACTCCTCTAACTCAAAAACAGATATTCTAGCAAGCATTATGGCAAGCAAAAAACCCCTACATATATAATTAAAATGTTATACTACATTTGCTCAGCTAGAACAATGGTCTATTAAACTTAATATCTTGTGCAGCAGACTGGAAATAACCAGAATTGCACTGCACCAAAAAGTCATTCATTCACAATTTTCTATCTCACAAATACCTTGTATAATAGGTTTCTTTTCCAGCTATCTCAGGTAGGGAAAGTTATTTGTCCCTACATGCCAGTTTACTAGATTTTTATAAGCCACAGCCCACCAAATAAAATGGCAAGCTTCATCCACTATTGCATTTCCACATGCGCTGCCATCATTGTATTCTACTCCTTTTACATAAATGTTGACACCAGAGCTTAATGATATATGAAAATATAACTGGGGTGTGTGTGTGTCACAAAATTGATTCAACAGCTGTATGTGTTTGCATTCATTTTAAACTGTCAACATTTGAAAACCAGAATCCCATGTATAAGTGTTTTCTGGATTGTTATCAAGGACACTGAAGTATTTTACTTAGTAAGCACCTGTATGTGGTTATTTTACAGCATAATTACTAGCAGCTGGGAACTGTCGGAGTAATTGTTTGACAATACAGTGTTATAGCTCAAATGTCAGTTTTGACAACCAATGATCTAGAGTCCATCTTAGATCAGCTAACTTCGGTAACTGACCATGCTGATCGGTTGCCTAATTAGCAAGTGACAGCTGGGCTAGTATACAGGAGTTTCGGGGTAAGGGTGGAAGAGATGCTATAGCCCATTTGCCAAAGCCATATGGACAGGCACAGATTTTAGGAGAGCACGTGAAGCTGAGAGAAGGACTTCCACTCTTTTCAGGACTTTCACTTCCCTGCATCATTTGCTGCTAGAAGAGCTGTTATTCAAGATGTCTGCCAGAGCGTTGGAGCTGTAAGCCACTTAGGGGCAGTGTTTAGAGACATTAGATCTGTTATTTTGTCGTATATTCTTTGTTCAATTGTACACTCTATTCCCTTACATGCATGTTTTTTTGTTTTGTCTATTTTTGTAATACATTTCTAAAATTATGTTTTTAAATTTTGGAGTGAGTTACTAGTCCAGACACGCCAATTTTGTTCCAGTGTCATACATTCGCTACCAAAAGACCTTTTACTAATTGGGTATAGTTAAATTCTTTTTTTTTTTAGCAACATCTTGGCCAGGTAACATCGTTGGGGTACCCCGATGTCGTGACAGGGGGGGGGAATGCTTAATCAAATGCCATATGTGCACAGGCTTTTTGGGAGAGTTTTTAAACTACCAGGTGCCTAAGGTTGCCAGCCCTCAGTTCCCATCAGGGGTTCCCCCAATTTTGGGGGCTCTGATCCACTGCCAGCCAGATAGCTGATGGAGGAAGGCCCACCCCCAAAAGGGATATCACCAGCTGATGTCCCAGATGTGATGACATCACCTGGAAGTGATGTTATTGCATTGGGAGTGACACTCTAGTTTTTGGGCAAACTAAACCAAAACCATATAAAGCCCAAAAACTAGAACGTCACGCCTCAACGTGACGATGTCACTTCTGGGTGACGTCATTGCAGTACACATGCTTCACACACACTTCAGAAGATCCCAGACTGGAGCCTGGATTCCCCCCACCCCGGCAGCCAGGTAGGACCTGGCAACCCTACAGGTCCCCTGTGGCAAGTGACTGCCAGAGGATGGCATGGAATGGGCATGGGAGAGACTGCAATAACCTTTTTTAGTGTTTTTGTTATCTACATATTGCTAAGATAGTGGTGGTCTTAGTAGAGGCATGGAGGCATGGATTAATGCAAGTATGAGATTCAGGTCAGGAGAAAAGGTACAACAAATAATATTAACCAAAAAACCCTACCAAAACTTTATAATTACATATGCTACCTACCCTGAGCCAGGGGATGTAGATGCAAATATATAAATAGTATGCAACAGTAGGCAAATCCCAAGCCAGTAATGAAACCATCACAACAAATGTACAGCATGTTAATTTAATTGGGTGCTTGCTTCTCTTCGAGAAACAGTCAACAGCAACCTTACATTCATTTTCTTCAGACCACTTATACACTTCCAACACCTGCTTCCACTCCAAGCTGAAAAGACTCACTTCTGAGGTAAACTGAGACTGCCTTGCAGAGAGAGTGGGATATAAGTCAAATAAATAAAATAAAAAATAAAATAAATAAGAAATCAAGTACTGGCATAAACATATGCTAGCAAGGAAGCAATAGGATTAAAAGTTTCCTACAACTAGGGAAATAGAAGGATTTAAAAGACTGGCAGTGTGAGAGATGGAAACACCTCAGAGGACAGCAAAGGGCAGATATTCCTTATTCCAAGGTGAATAGCTTGGTGCCAAAGCATCCCATGTAATTCCATTCTTAGAGATGTAAAATTTCCAGAAATTCTGAAGCCATGGAAAAAAACAAAAATTTGGGGGGGAATTGAAAATTACTTGCTGTCCTATCAACCCTGAACTAATTTTACTGCTTTAACAACAGAAAATGCATCATTTATAACTTACTTAGCATATAAAACTGCAATATTGGAAATATTTATGGAATTTAAAAGTGATAAATGCCTCCGTTTTCTACAAGCAAAACTACAAATATACCCAATGCTTAAGAGAAAACTGCAGGCTGATGCACCCATGCTAACTTGGCCCATATACCTTAATTTTTGCTATCTGAAAAACAGAAAAAAGGAGTTAAACTTTGTGTTAAATAACATAAAATATATTTCTGGGTAAGAAAAAAAGGGTCACACAAAGGCTCGATAATGATATTTGCACAGCTACAAGTAGTTCCAGCTAGATGCTGTCTTCTCCTTTCCATAGCTACTGGTTGGAGAAAGCTCAGTTCTCAATGAAACTCTGAGACTTTTCCTCTGAGGCTTTGGTGCAATTTCTCCCCCACCTTCTTCTGATCTTTCTTTCCCCTCCAGCAAGGTAGGGCAATAAGCTACGTGATGCCCAGTCTGTGGGTACATATGTTACAGTGGGTTGAGAGAGAGATGAAAAGGTCAGCCATGAGAAGAGTCAGGTCAAAAAGGCCAGAGAAGCAATGAGAGCCCTGCCTACTGCCCTCATGAAGATCAGGTAACTTTCTAGGTGCAAAAATGCATCTTAGATTTAAGGGCTGTGTATGTCTACAGCACACCCCCCTTGTCTTTAAAAGCATTTCACTCCTTCTAAAAGACAAAGTATTTCATAGTTTTTCAGTACTCCCTAAAATTATTCCATTTTTCTATTAGAAAAACTTTAAAAAGCCATACAAGAACACCACAGGAAAACACCAGGTTTTTTCACATGTTTCCAGTTTTTCTCCAGCCCTTCACATCTTTACTCAAATCTGGAAATGGCATAAAGGATAATTACTAGACCCTCTGAAGGACTGAGCCACTGGCCCCCTTAGTCCTATATTAAGTACCTACGTAGTAGTATGAATTATTCACATATACTTATTTACATACACTTCTATCTTCTGCCAGTGGGCAAAGATTCTTTGTTTTGTCTGGTGTTCGTTCACTGACTCTCATTGACCCTTCTGTTCATGTGTTTTAACTGTTTTTAATATGTGTTTTAAATTTTGTTTTAATGTTTTCATTGTTCACCAGCTTGGGGTGGAAAGGCAGCTTAAAAATGTCTTAAATAAAAAAGAGCAATTATTAGCCTTTGCTTACAAGATGGACAGAACACTTCTAGGGACCAGTCACCAAGTTCTTGACAGGCTGCAAATTTACAATTTAACTACAGCATCTGCATGTTTAAATTTACAAATTTAGCTTTGGTGGTCTCTCTAATTAGATGGGGAGAATACCAAGCTGATCTAGTTGTCTTTTGACTCTATAAATAGGACAGTGACTACCTTAACTATTTTTATAACCACTTGAAAGTCAACTACATGAAGACAGATAGGGCATGGAAATAGCTCTCTCTAAGATTCTGGCTTATAATTAGCCCAAATGACATGCACATTTATGAGTTCCAATGATCCTGTCTAACCAGAAAATATTTCATGACTGTCCAGTGACCAGGTTAATAACCAATCTGGACCATGTGAATCTGAAATCAGCCATACTGATTGACTAGGACTGTCAACATAAATTAGGAATATAATAGGTTAACCATAACATTTATTTTTACAAAGGAGGGGCTAAGTAGATAAGCATTATTTTAGAAGTCTATTAAAAGCAGTTGGATATTTGAAAGCAATGCTCTATATTAGAAACCACTATTTTCAGAAAGGACAGGATTTGGCTAGGCAAATAGTTCAATAATGTAAGAAAAATCCATCTGGATCAGACCAAAAGTCCAACTAATCTAGCATCATCTTTCTCAAACGGATGCCCCCAAGAAACCCACAAGCAGGAAATGAAGGCAGAAGCCTCCCCCTGTTGTTGCCCTTGAGAATTTTTAACGTATGATGGTTAATCTAACACCACACATCTTTCCATGAATTTCTTTACTAGCTCTTTTTGAAGTCGCCTAAACTAGTGGTCATCACAATATCCTCTGGAAGTGACTGCCTTAAGTCACTTAAGTGCACTGGGTGTAAATACTTTCTTCTGACCATCTGGAGCCTACTTCCCATTCACTGGGTAGGAGTCCTATTATTACAGGAGAGAAACTTCTCTCTTTCCTCAGAATACACAATGTTATGTTTCCCCTTCCTTATCTTTCCCCCCCCCCAAACTGTAAGAATCCCCAAAGTTCTTTAGTATTTTCTAGCAATTCAGTTTTCTGGCACAAGTTTCATATCAAAAGTGAAACATCTATATACTATTAGCATCTGGCCCTCATCTGCAGATAGCTAAATCTGTAGATTGGGGCCACACAGACGCTAAACAGATTTTTCAGCAAACTTGGGGGACTCCCCAGGTTTGCAGAAAAATCTGAAATTTTTAAAAGATTATACAGCTGCAGGGGTGTAATTCCCTTGAAAGGTAGCATTTGTCAATGGGATAGGGGAGCTGCACTGAGTTCAGTGATGGCGGTGCAGCCAGGAAGCCTTGCTGGGCCAGCAGCGGTAGCCACACAGCCCGGAAGCCCTGCTGGACCCAGAGGTGGCCATGCAGCCTGGGAGCCCCAAGGGACCCAGCAGTGGCTATGCAGCCTGGGAGCCCCACTGAACATGCTGCCAGCAGCAGTGCAACTCATGAGTCTCACTGGGCCTGCCAGTGGTTGAGCAGCCCGCCAAAGCCCCTAAATTGTGCTGGGCCCTGCGTGAAATTCAGGAGGAGGGAATCCCCCCCCCCCCGAGAGTATTGCAGGCCCACACTTGTACCAGAATAAACCTGACAAGGATGCCACTGATTCTGCTATCAGATTATTAAAAATGGCAGACACAATTCAGTCATTTATGGAACAATCACAGAACCTACTTATATTCATAAATATGGAATCTACATTATGAATCATTCCTTGTAATATATTATTTGATGCTAATTCTAACTGTGCATTGGTAGATAGAAAAACTGACATTTTATCCTGTTTAAATACTGTAATAATGGGCCTGATAACAGACAGGCAGAGTAGACTGCTGTGTTCATGTGTATTCATTTCTGAAAAAAGAATGGTGTCAATCTGAGAAACATAAGAGGATCATAATGATTAAGGAGATATAAAGAGAACTATTTTCCCTCTCATGGGGGATGTGTACAGGATTTCCTCATATAACTTAACAGTACTTATGGCAAAAGAATATAAAATTCTAAAGAATTATTCATCTTTACCATGGTACTTGGTGATATAAATACCTATGTCAGGAGTTAAGATGAGCGGTATACCAGCAGCATTATAGCCCTGTCAAAACAGTTTCTTAAAGAGTAAACCCAGTGAAATAGGGCTGCCAATGGCGCCCGGGGGGCGGGGAATCCCCCGTTTCGGAGCCCCGATTCCCGGCGCGCCGGAATCGGGGCCCGGGGGAAACCCCACCCCCGCGTGCGCGTCACCCGGAAGTGACGTCGCACGCTGGGGCCGGAGCCACGCCGTTTGAGGGGAAAACAAAAAGTTTTCCCCGCAAACGGCGTGGCCCCGCCCAGCGTGTGACGTCACTTCCGGTGACGTCCTGGCGGCGCGCGCGCGCATCCACAGCCGGCTCCAGGACCAGGAAGAAGATCCCCCGCCGGTAGGAAAATAAAATTTGGCAACCCTACAGTGAAATAAACTGGAGTTTGAAAGTTGGGAGGCATGCCAATAGTACTATAATAAGATTGCTAGCTACTGACATGCCTCCAACTTTCAAACTAGTTTATTCCAGTTTAATAAGCATGATAAGCAGAGCTAAAGACCTCCTGGATACTCAATATGACAAATTCTGATATTTAAGGTACCCTTTCCGAGTCATAAACTACATTAAAAGGCATAAATACCGTGGACTTTTAAAGGATTTTCCCTCCATGCAAAATGAGCTACCAACTTGCCAGTTCATTCATTAAGAGAAAGACAGAAAATCACATCCAGAGCAAAATACTGAAAGAAAAAGCCCAGCTACCACTGATAATGTACTCTTATAAGGCTTTAGCTACTTAACCAGATCAATATCACACACACACACAAAAAATTACCTTTGTTTCAGAAGGCTTCATGGCAGGTGCCTTTGTTGCTGCAGTAGAAGACGGCTTGGTCTGCATTAAAGTGCAAACAAAATACTTTAACTACCTGTCTTAATAAAACACCAACATAGTTATTAACAGTCAAAATTACACAAATTTCACCACAAGGCAGCAAGGGAGATGCACGTTTGAACCTCAATGCTTAGTGATAGGTGGGATGCCAATCCCACCTACAGCCACAAATTGTACACAACATACGCCAGGCCTAAGAAGTTTTATTTTAATAATAACCAGTTCAGGTATGGGGTACAAGTATGTCAACTATTAAAACCAGCAACAAAAGCAGCTATATAGTAATTACAATAGCTGCATATTTAACATAACACACAGAAATACCACATTCCACATGATGTGACCTTAGTGTTGCTGGCCTGAGCTTTGGGAGAAAGGTGTTTCAAACAATTAGATTAATGGCTTCAATCAGTCTGCCAGAGAAGAAGAAGAGATTAGATTTATACCCCACCCCTCACTACCCAAAGGAGTCTCAGAGCAGCTTACAAACTCCTTTCCCTTCCCCTCCCCACAATGGACACCCTGTGAGGTAGGCGGGGCTGAGAGAGCTCTGACAGAGACTGCTCTTTTTCAAGAACAGCTCTTATCAGAACTACGGCTTGCCCAAGGTCATCCAGCCAGGTGCAAGTGGAGGAGTGGGGAATCAAACCCGGTTCTCCCAGATTAGAGTCCACACACTTAACCACTACACCACATATATTAAGATGTGATAAATGTTTAGTTAAAGGAGTGGTTATGTTTTGATACAGCATCTTTTAATAGGGATTTATATTACTTAGAAAGCATACCAATAGTTTGCTTACAAAACAAATTTAAGAAACACCAAAATATAGTCTCTCCATCTTTGTTTCTCTTGCTTCTGTATGTCTTGTGGGCCATAATAAACACTAACTGACTGGTCTTCCCATCATTCTCTATTATTAACGAGGTATCCAATCTAAAGCAGTAATCATGATAATTTTGAACCATCTTTGTAAAACATTTTAAAAAGCCTTTCTAGCCATGTATATCCAATCCCACCATAAGCAAAGCTTCTGAAAACCAGCCTCCTTGCAAGACCATAGCTCTTCTTTTCAAATACTGTCTAGCTTAAAAGCTTTGATGAGCCCAACGTAAGTTTTGCTATTGTAAAAGAGGAACCCTGGATGCATTTCTTACTTCAGGTTTCTGCTTTGACAAATATGAAAACAAGTTATTAAAGCATTCACTGAATGAACTTGGTACACATACGCAAACAATCCAATGTGTGTCCTCAAGAGCATCACCAGCAACTCCAAGTAATGAGAGTATATTGCAGTGCAACATCTAAGGTCGAAAGACATTCAAAAAGAATATAATGTGACCACATATCCCATCTACCTACAAGTAAACATTTGGAGATGAGGTCATACTTTCATTAGCAGACAGTCTTGACTGCTATCAAATTACTGGTATAAAGGTGTTCTCTTTGATACACAACTACCAATTACCTGTTTCACCCTTCCTTACATTTGTCACATCCCTTCTCGTCATGTAGCAAATATGCATACTAATAAAGAGGATTTACATCTAGATGAACATGCCCCTCTCTTATGAGTCCCATTTCTTTCACTCCACCCTTTGACACTCTCAGGGACCAGCAGAATCAACTTTCTTTTGTTTTCTGAGCAAAACAGTTCTCTGTGTTAATACTGAAAGGTTCTCAAACAAACAGTTAAGAGACTGCAGCGCACACTAGTCAATAAAACACTCTTCAGCTATAATTTAAGAACTGGTGAGCCAGTGTGGTGCAGAGGTTAAGAGTTTCAGATCTGGGAGACCAGGATAGAACTCCCACTCTTCTGTAGAAGCTTGCTGGGTGACCCTGAGCCAGTCACACGCTCTCATCCTAACTTCCCTCACACAGCTGGTGTCAGGATAAAACAGAAGCGAGGATAACAATCTAAGCTACAGGACACAAATGGAGTAAATACAGAGCCCTATGGGCATCCTGTTTCCAGCAGTGCTTAGCCAGATGCTGCCCTTCTTGCTGTCCCTTAGTTGGTTCATTGTTGATACATTGTTTATTTACTACATAGTTTGCTGCCCTTTCGTTGGTACTGAGAGAATATTTGTTTCCAATCCAATCCATTTAGCTATCACAGCTAGTAACTGTGCAGTCTCCTCCAACTGCGCAGCTAGTTTATAGTCTATTTCCATCTTTTGTTTATTTAAGGACCACATGGAAGATGGCTCACATATGGGTTCATTTAGCAGGATCAACAACTTCCTTCATCCGCAATCAACTATTCACTTGGCCTTCACGAGCACAGTGATTTTGAATATATCTAATTCTTAATATGACTCCATCTGTGGACACTTAAGTCTGGAGATTGGGGCCATGGACAGACAAGACAGATCTTTCCAGAAATCTGAGAAAGCCTGACGTTTGCAGAAAATCAGAAAACGCACACACACGTGCATGCACACACTCACACACTGGGGGTTAACCCCCCCAACTGATAAAAACAGTATCTGTAGCTTTACAAAACAAATGCCCTCACAATTTATTTTAAATTGGTTTTAATGTTATTAATCTTGCGATATTTCATGCTTTTAAATTGTTTCTAAGGCTTAATGTCATGTTGTAATTGCCGAGAGCATGGCGTAAGTTGAGATGGGGCATAATAATAATAACAATAACAACAATAACAACAACAATAGTATTGCCAGACATCACACTTTGATTTCTGTCAGTAAAAGGCAGGGCCCTTTCTAGGACTATTTTGGCCTTTGACAGAGAATTCATGGGGGCTGGGCCTCACAGCAACCACCAGACTACAGGCTACTTACTACCTGACGTGCATGAGTTATGCAGGCCTGATTGCTTGCTACTGTTCACCATCAGCCACTGGGTGACTTCGGGACAATCATATACTCTCAGCCTAACCTACCTCACAGGGCTTTCATGAGGATAAAATAGCCTAACCTACCTCCACTGGAAAGAAAGATGGGGTATATATGAAGTAAATAAATAACGAACACAGATGGAAGGGGCAGGTAAAATGGAGACTGCTGGGTGAGTGAGCAGAAGAGAACGAAGCACCTTGAATTGAACTTCAAAACAACTAGGCAGCCAATGAAAGTTCTTTAAAACAGAAGCAATATGGTCCCAACGGCTGACAGACAGGCATTTTGTGTCAGTGGAAGTTTCCAGACCGCCTTCAAGGTCAGGCCCATATAAAATACATTAGAGTAATCTAGCCACAAGGGTCATGAGGAAGATTGTGTTCATATACAAGTGCTTTCTTTTTAACTACCTGTAAAACAAGTCGCTGAGTTGCAATACTTGATATTGTCATTTTCTTCTAATTCCTTTCCAATATTAAATAACATGAAACATCTAATTTTAAAACACACTGTTCACAACCATCTTAGAAGCAAAGTTTTGTCTTCTGAAGTAACACATGAATACATGTTGTGCTTGGAAATAAACATGAAAGTGTTGCCTGGTAACTGACAATAGCTGACTGAATCATAACGAAACAGAACTTGGAAAGACTGTAGTTAGTTTGGAGGGAGGCACACCCAGTTCTAACACAAGACCGATGGTGAGCTGCTTGGTGAGTTATGTGAACCTCTGTGGCCTTACTGAATAGGGAGGATTATAAATGCACTTGAATTAAGCCCAGGAATTAAGCCTCAGTATGGATATTCCTAGTTTCTCACAGGAACATCAAGAGTGCTCTTACAGACTACTGAATAGTTGCATGTGGGGGAACCTGCAAGGATTTGTAGAGAGAGAAAATCCCATTTCCCTCTGCATCTTCCTTTCCCTGTCTGCCACTTATCCCTCTTCTTGCTTGACATCATCTCCCCCACCCCAATTCTATGAGAAGCTGCACCAAATCTCAAGGTGAACCTCAACATACTTTGGAGTTATGACTGTAACCTAAATAGTAACAAACAATACAGCACACAGTCTAATATAGCCAAGAACAACAAAACAACTGTGAGCTGAAATACCCGCAAGTATAAATGTACAAAAAGAGACTTTTAATAAAGTGAAAAGAAGCATATAATTAGCAATATCAATAATAAATATTACATATAGGAATCCACAATCCATGAAGGGAAACAGTTAAGTCCAGAGAAGATATCCAACACTTTTCCTAGGTAGTTTTATAGTGTTTCAGACTCCTAGTCCTTCCTCAGGAACACAGAACTATAGAAGTATAGAAGTACATAAAACCTGGTTGGTCCCCCGGGTTTGCGGAAGCACCGTTGCATAGATATCCAGCTAGTCCATGGAAGCTAGCACTTCATAACTGGATATAGTCATAGTCATAAAGAAGCAAACATATCTCAAAATCAGCTTTCAAGTTAACAGCTAGGAAACAGGTGAAAACCATGTCTGAATCTAGATCTGGAAGGTCTCCAACTCAACAAAATCTGTTCTGGAAGCAGAACCCTGATAGTGAACCCAAAAGGTGGAATTTCTCTGTTTACCAAGGTTACAAAAGGCCAAGATCCTATTATTAACAGGAATGGTTGGCCAATCCAGAGGCATCATGTTGCAAAACAATCCTGGGGGCGATATGTGCACTCTGATATTTCCTTTTGTGCTGGAAGAAGACTCTGACAACTGAGCACATACCAACCACAGTTATTTTCTAGGCTATGTTCTAGCATCAAACGTTGAGATCCTCCATCAAATCCTACAGTTCATGACGAGCACTATTTGTTAAATAGATGTACATCAAATGTGTGTATCATTAAACTGAAAGACCGAATTAAGTGATGAGTAAAATTCACACTGCGGTGGCTCAAGTGGTTAAGACGCTGAACTGCAGGCTGTGGAAGGTCAGTAGTTCAGCGGTTCAAGACCCGGGTGCCGCATGATGGGCTGAGCTCCCATCTCTAGTTCCAGCTCCTGCCAACCTAGCAGTTCGAAAGCAAGAAATTGCAAGTAGATAAATAGGTACCACTTCGGTGGGAAGGTAACAGCGTTCTGTGCACCTTGGTGTTTAGTCATGCCGGCC